CAAAATGTGCTCCATTCTGAAGGTTAGATTATCCTTACAACCCATGGGGGGAGCAATCCCTGGTAAAGCAAATCCTAGGGCATCCTGAACAGAGACAAGCTGATCACTTCTCTGAGAGCCACCTAAATCCTCCCTTTGCTTTTGTGGTAACATGGAACGTGGATGCTCACAGAGCTGTTATCACTCCTTTTGGGAGCACACATCAGGGCTGGAAATGTGCTGCTCTAAGGATTGCTTCCATCTGATGAGAAGCCTGGATAAGAATGCTGAAGCAGTCACAATAGCCTTTCCTGGATGTTGACCTAGGAAGTGGTGACCGTAACAGGGGCAAACTTAAGCAAAAATATTTCTTAGCTAATGTGTTCCCAATGCGCTTAGAGCAGGATGTCGAGGAAAAGAAACCGGAGGGCTTTTAAATAACAAAATCAGCTTGGGGGAGGACTGATTTATCTAATCCTTGCTCTCTGTATCTGGGTCACTTTAAATAATCTCATGATTAAAAGGTAGCTCCTCCTTTCATGAAGGCCCCTATACAAAGCAGTTGTCAAAGCATAACCTGCAGTAATGGGGAACATGTTCTACTGTAAACTCAGTGGCAGGAATTTTAAAATTGAAGGGAATCACTTCTTTCTTAGGTGACTCCAGTTTATAACAGTTCCCTTACAGTTCACAAACTTGAGCATTGTATTTCCTCGTTTTGCCTTCTACTTTTCAGCACTGTACCTCAGTCACTTGGCATTTGTCAAAGTGCCTCATCCTAGGAGGTGCAACTCTCCACAGGAGGCTTTTCTTGACCTTGTCTGGAATGGAAGAATGTCAGGATGGACCCATTCCCTAAGGAAGGCATGGTCAGGACAGGTCATTGCTGCAGGGACAGTGTACAGGTACGCTCAGTTATGAGGATTGCTGTGGTCAGGCTATCAGCACCTTTGGAAGGCTGATTTCCAGCGATTGGACAGGTATCTCTGATGCCTGTGCATGAGTCAGATGGTCCAGGATGACTTAAAGGGAAAGCAACAGGGACAAAGAGTAGTTTATCAAAGGAAAGGCTTGGACTGACTAAATCTGGTGATATTTCGTCCACCTGGAAAAAATTCAAGAACTCACATGAGAATTCCTAATATGTGGAAAACGTAGATCTCATTGAGAGGAAGAGCACAAAAAATAGTTATTTTTCTAATTCACAAGCAACAACTAAGTAGGTTTGGGAAAAAGAGATGATGCAGCTGAGGAATAAGGGTAACACATGGCTCAGTCAAAGTGTGTGATGGGGGCATGGGTGTAGGTGGATGTGACTGAAGTGAGTGGCAAATTCCACTTCCAGGGTCTGACTGATAGAACATTCCAATGCTCCCTGAAAACTTTGCCTGAATTTCCCACTGAAATTCAGAAGTACCTAGAGGATCACCCACTCAAGTGAATACATAGTTCAGCATGTATGGCATCAATCATCAATGCATGGGATGGATGCTGTGCTGTTCTGCAAGGAAACACAAAGCTCAAAGGAACAGCCTGGAACACCTATCGTGCATTCTTGTTCATACCATCCCCGTAGTATCAACAAGTGCAGCCTGGTCAGATCTACACAGGACCAAAATCGTGGTCAAATCAAGGAGAGAAACTCCAGAAATCAAGTTTTCACCTGATGATAGCTGTCTAGATCTGCTCACTGAACTATGTGTGGAGTCAACCAAGCAAAGGGCTTATAGATACACATTATAAAAATATATTTACTATTTAATATTTGTAGCAAAAGGCACTTCTAACTGAGCCAAAAAATTCCACACTTGTCCAGTTCTAGGTGGAAATATGCCAACAAATAGCAGCATCATGTAAACCTTTGGCCATTGTGGGTACACCCTCATCCCAGCCTTTGCTTGAAACACGCTCCAGGGAGATGTGAGCTATCAAACGGCACCCACGCAACTGGAAGTGGAGTCACTCAATTAGTAATCACTGTGCAATTAGGCTTTGCATCAAAATAGAAATTACTTCTCTAAAAATAGCAGTGATGACATGTTAGCTCAAAAGGAACAGAGTTTTTAAAAGAGGAAGATGAACAAAATAACAGCTCTGAAGGCCAACGTAAAACTGAAGGGCAAAGCAAAGTAATCTAATAGAAAACCAAAATCTATAAAATCAGAGCCCAGAATGCTTAACAGTCTCAGATAGCACAGATGGAGTTCGTAAACCCAGTGGTTACAGTGGGTTTAATAGCATTTCCTGAGATAATTCTGTTATTTTGCTGTTGCAAGGAACTGGAAAATGAGTGTAGTGTTTCAGATGTCACTGCTTGTAAGTTTTGATAAAAGCCAGTGTTTTTATGCAATTTAATGGAGAAAATGAAAGGAAGAACAAGAAACTGAACAAGCTCGAGATGCAACTACTCCTTTATCTACCAGTTCACCATCAGAGAAGAAATTTTGTCACTATGGGAAATTGTCATCACTGAAAACAAGAATGACTTTGACAGATAGTGAATTCTTTGAAGAGGAAGTGATGCAGCAACCAGAGTAACTCTCCTGGCACTAAATCAGTACCAGAAAATGGCATTTCACGGGCACCCAAAAAAAAAAAAAAAGTGTGAAATAACAGAGGTACCAAGGAGAAGATGCAGTACACCCTCAACATCAACAACTGCTACTAAAAGATTTAAGGGCAACAATATGGCACCTATTTCTAAAAACAGAATTGAGGGAAAATATAAAAATTGGAACTTGAGCATTTATATAACTGACTCATTGACTGAATTATAATTACTCACTTTTGTATTCCATTTTACCTTTAATTTGTATTTTTTTTTCATTTCTCACTTTCTCAACTAAGCTCTTTCCCGATATATTTTTCTTCTCTGTTTTTTCATCAGTGACATGTTTCTAGACAAGAAAACCTGAGGTTTTGAGCACTCAGGCATATTCTGTTCAGTCATTCTTTTTCCTTTTTTCCTAACTTCATATTTTTCTTTTTTAACTAGCTATAGTTAGGTATGTTTGAACCTTGCTTCATCTGTTATCATAAACCACAATTCTAGTCTTTATTAATTTTGGAGTTTCTGTTTTTTTCTCTATAGCATTTAATTTTCTATTCTATGTGATTTTTGACACATCAATGCAACCTTGAGCAGAAAGGTAGCATTCATCAGCTTCATTCCACTCATAGAGCGTAAAAAAGTTACTTTATAATTAAGGGACACCTTCCACTGGAATGTCTCCTTTGGCAGTGGCAGCAAGAGCCTCTGAACCTCAGCAACATCTCCTGCCTGAAGCAGCTGTTACCCATCTTACCCATCTCATCTGGCAAAGTTCAGCAGGCCACAGACACACAACCCAAAGGCCCCGAAGCTGGATGACACCACAGTGAGGACTCCTGCTCCCAGTCAAGTCAACAGGACTTGTTTAATTAAGACAAGGCACAAAGGCAGGACATCTGTATCCCAGCAGTTCCAATCCATCCTGCCTGGAGGCAACCACTGAGCAGTAATGGAGAAAATGTCCTCCATCAGATTAACTCAATTAAGTCAAGTAGCAAATGCCTGTTAACAGCTCTGTGTACTTTACAGAAAGCATCCAGTGCTAACAATAAATGTCTTTAAAACTAGAATACTGTAAGAGGTAATTCCCGTGAACACATTTTCTAATTCTGACTGGATTTTCTGTTTTTTAATTTAGAAAATCTCATTCATATTTTTCAGCATAAGGAAAAACCTTTGGGGAGACTTTTTGAGGAATAACGCTTCACGAAAGTATTATTTTTAACAATTATTTCTCTTACCATGCTCAAAACATTAAAGACTTTTTTTATCTTCTAATACACATGAAAAGGCTGATAAATGTATGAAGAAATCATCCAGCTTGTTCATTATGAAAGGAGTTTGCTAAATTTTTGAAAAAAGGAACTATGTTTCTTATCTTTAATGGGAATAGAGCATGAGGAGCAACTGACCGTGAGCTGCCCTGAGAGACCTGTTCCATCATTTTAGGGCATAAACCATAATAAAGAATACATTTTTAAAATCTTGGAGTCAGGCAACAAAGTATTTTTCAGTTTCTTTATCTTGTCTTAAAATGTGCTAAAGGAACAGACAAACGCTCATTTTGTAAAGCCGTTTATTCATCTCCTGCTCTCTACTCACCTTACTTTGTCCATGGTCAATTGTAACATCAAACAACAGGAATTTGTAACAACAAAAATCCAGGTCCCCGTTTCCCAGGTGTGGGCAAGCAAAGTGTGGAGCTAGTGCTAGGATTTTTTTTTTTTTTTAATAAAACCAGAAAGATGTGGTTTTATTATCATCTACACCATATTTCAGCCCCTTATAGCTACAGACAGCTGCTATAAGTAAGGCAGCATTGACAAACATTAATCAAATTATTTATTTGATAAATGGTTCTTAATCCAAGTCAAAGGAAATCATAGGTGAAGGACACCACCTTGTCCTCTGGTGTATTTTGGAAGACCAGACAATGTTTCATTTCAGTGGAAATAAGAGGGCAGTTTTTACTGTTGTTTTTCCTGCTAGGACAAGGTGATTTTCCCCAGTTCAAACTTACATCACAATCTTTTGACTGAAATTCCTTCTGATCACATAAGGAAGGAATTTGGAAGCCTGCAGTAAATTATCTGCAAACTTTTAGCCAAAAAATAACCATAAAAAGCAATTGTACAAATCAAGCCCTTGAGAAATTATCTTCTTCTTTACTGCTCACCAAATTCCACTCAAATACGATATTTATACACTTTGGAATATTTTAGGAATTCCTAGCATGCTTTTATAAATTGTTTCAGAAATTTTTCTATCATCAACAATAGTAGTTCCTGTATCACACAATGAGCATATAATGACTTCAATTCAGCATTTATTTTTATTCTACTTATGAGAGAATGCTTCAATTTGCTTGATTTGTCAGGCTTGCATGCTTAGAGGCAGTGTGTAATATCTCAGATATTATAAGAGCTCACCAAATAACTTGTAGAAGTGAGAAGGGAAAAGAGCATCATACCTGAGATTGTGCATTAATATTGGCTCCTTCCTTCACCAAAACTTTGACAACTTCAGCTTGTCCTGCTAAGGATGCGATGTGCAGGGCTGTGTTCCCTTTCTGTTAGAGGGAGGGGGAAAATGCAAGTTATTATTATACTTCTTCAGGAATCATTTCAATCAGCAGGATTTTACAGCATTCATGTGCATGTGACTGCCTGTGGAAAGGCTAATGGGAAAGCAATTTATCCCACAGATGTGTTTTTTCCATTGTGCCCATGGGTGAAAAGATTCTAGATCTGATAAAGTCAGTTACTGATTTTCACAGATTTGAAAAAAAGCTACTAATTCTCTTTAAAATAAGGAGGGTCTGTCACTGGAAATAAGGAAAATCTGGCATTCCTAAGAACTTCTAATGCTTCCCAAGATATTTTCCTCTTCATTTACCACCAATGAGCTTCAGCATAGACAACTCCCAGGCCATAACAGAAATAACAGCTTAAATATCAGTGAGGTATTTCTATTATTCTCTTATTTTGCACTTTCTGCGGTTTTGTCTGTATTTCTCATATGTATTGAATAAACTTAGAGACATGCATCAATTACCTTAGTGGCAGAATCCACAGCGGAGCCTCTTTCCAACAATTCCTGTACCAGTCCCACGTGGCCTTCTTTGGCTGCCAGGTGCAGAGCATTGAGCCCATTCTGTAAGCACAAGGGCCAGATCCATTACAAATATCAGATACACATTCCTACCTCACCCTGGGATAAGGAGATTAGGAGCTGGAATACTGTTACATCTCTTAGCTGACTGTCTGCATAAGTCAGATACTTTGGACATGGCTATTTAAGCTGAGGCTCTGTGGGACAAACTTCTCAGATAACATTTTTCTCATATTAACAAGTATATCAAAACCAACTCTATTTTGTGAATATCCAGAAAAGATTGCTTATTTTCTAATAACTTCCATTACCACAGACTACTACCTTGGGCATCTCCATAGAGTCCAGTATTTTAAAACTTGAGTGTATTTCTGCCTCACTTTACTGTAACCTTATGCAGCCCCACTGAGGTTTTATCAATACTGAGAAATCACAGGACTTAGCCAAATTCACATAGGATGTGTCTACTTAATCAGGGTTATTCCATGCTGACGTAGCCACCTTGACCCCTGGTTTCTCCTCTGGGATACCTGGTATCAAATAGAAATCCAAAAGCACAAATAGGCCAAAATGGCTGTTGATCACTTTTGACTTGCAAACTGATCCTTGATCTGGCACACTTCTGCTGGTGTCTGATGAGGAAGTCTTCACTAAACTCTGAGGCTTTGAAATCTCAGTCAAAAAGGAAAATAAAATTATTAAATAAAAGCTAGGATTGTTGAAAAGGTAACCCAAGGAAGTCAGCATCTAAATCCTCTCCACATTAAACAGGAACAGAATACTTTATCTCATATAAATTCCTGCCATGGAAACTTGATCTTCTTCCTAGTATCCCCTTTCTACTCAAGAAAAAAAATTAAATTGCAGTCTATTGTAGCTGAATTGCCAACCTGTTTTTCACAATCCTATGGTGTTTTTTCATGCTACATCAGGCAAGTGACAGTGACTAATACTGCCATGCCCTCCAGCATTCTCCTAGTTTCCATATTGCAGGCATCAGAGCAATACTCAGGTGTTTGAGTAACCAGCAGCAAATTCAGCACTGTGTAATTTTTATCACTTTGCTTGTCTCTGAGCAGTTCAGAGTCATTTCCATTCTGAAATAAACAGGCAACTTTCTGGCTTTTATTTGTCCATTCACAGAGGCAGCTGGATGCTGTAATTCCCAGTGGGATTTTAAAGCACTTAGCACTTCACAGGAGGCATTTGATGGGAGTGGGTCCAATGGCTTCAGACACAGGAATCCAAATACATTTCTGCACTAACTCAACTGGATTCCACATCCATGTAAGCAGCACAGGCAGATTTGTGGTCAAATTCAGAAGTGGAACTATGAGAAAAGCAAAGGAACTAAAGGAAGGCCACAGTCACAGGCGGCCAAACAGGAACACCCTTCTGCAGCCTGGTAGTTAGGAAATGTTAATGAGAAATGTGGTTTCAAATCCCATTATGTGGGAAAAGCTACAGCAACCAGAACATCCTTATTCCAGAGGAAACATTCTTACTACAGTGCTGCAGAGCCCAGGGGTAGCACTAGTGCCATGCCCTGGTCAAGGAGAAATCCTTAGCCAAAAATATGTGGTGAGGTTGACCATAATCATCAGGATGAAGAATACTGCATACGTCAGGGAATATTTTGCTGAACAAGTTTCAGAAAACTCTGATCTTTCTTGGCTTTTAATCTCAGCTGAGTATCAATTAACCACGATTACTACCTGCAATGGCTGAGAGCTTTGAACCAGTATTTTGTGGGGAAACACAGAGTGTTCTCCTCACCTTTTAAGAACAAAGACCTGTTCTCATATCTGATCCTGCAGATCCTGTCATCAACACTTTCTATGGGAATCTGAAGGGCAGCTTGTCCTCTCCACCCTGTACACAGCTGATGTATTGCTGCAAGATGCTATTAACCTTCTTCACTCTTTGGGAACAAATAGCACAAAAATGCAAAATTCATGGCCCTTAAATGCCTCTGAATACAAAAGGATGAGGATAAGCCTCTGTTTTAGTTTACTATGTGCCAAAATAAGGAGAGAGCAAGGCTTGTCACAGTGATTAATCTCTGAAAACACCTGTATTCGTACCTCTGAGCCACATATCTGTTGATGCCATATTAAGCACCTGAAAGTTGATACTGCTGCATTGATTGAGTTTCTTTGCAACACAGGACTTCTTTTCAATGCATTAAAACATGAGCAAAAAAAAAAGTTGAGGTCCAGTAAAAAACTTACAGGAAGAAACTCTAGCTTAAAAATAGGACTATAGACATTCAAATTCCATAATTCCTTAAATAAAGTAAGCTGGGGTAAGCAGTAGCAGTAGCAATCCCTGCACTTTAAATGCTGAGGACCAGCACAACTGAAGCCTTAAAGCAACTTTTGTTCTCTTTCTCCCTAATCAGAACCAACGCTGCAATTATTTCCCAGCCCACGTGGCTGATCCCTGCTACTTCTGATGATGGAATCTCAGATTTAATCAATGCAACTCCTCCGTTCCTGTCAACTGGATTTTTGTAGTTCAGAAACAAAGGTTTCTGACACGTCCCTTTTTCTCTCCCCTGCCCACCAAGAAGTTGGGGAGGGTGAAATTAGCTGTCTGCTAAGCAAAACTGAGCCGCATAAGGACAAAGCCTGCATATGCCATAAGTGCCATTCTTTTGGAGACTCCTTGATAATTTTAACTCTCATAAAATTATGTGATACTAAGCCTTCCAAGCTGGCTCTTGTTTCCAAGTGTTTCCCTACAGTGCCTGATTACCCCAATTCTCTTTCTCCTCTACCACCAAGGCAGAGACATCAATGCTTTTCTATCCCAGTGCTCTGCAGCACTGTAGTAAGAATGTTTCCTGTGCAATAGAAATGTTCTGGTTGCTGTAGCTTTTCCCACATAACGGGGTTTGAAACCACATTTCTCATTAACATTTCCTAACTACCAGGAGTGCTAACATGCAGGTACCACTGACTGCTTACAGCACTTCTATACTGCCACCCTAGGCTCTTCCATCAGTGCCTGGTTCAGCACAAATCCTGATGTGCCATTTACTCCTCCTGAGACATCACATCTCCCAGATCCAACAGCTTCTCCCATTCCTGCCTAACCCTGTTGTGCCCAAGCAAATTGACACTATGGAAAAGTGATGTCTTGGCAGTACATCAGATGAACCTGTAGTTCAAAGGACATTTCAAATCAGCCAAGTCAGCTCGCTCTGGGCTTTTACATGCTTCCCTCTAAGCTCAGCTCTAAAGTGACAGGTATAGACAATAACTTGGCAGTCCTAGAAAGCTCGACTCACCTTCTGCTGGTGACACTCAGTGATGATGATAAAGAACTTAAAACTAGAAATAAGTGTTTGAAGGAAGTGGGGGAAAAGTTCAATTATAACAGCCCAATAGCAAAGCATAACTTTAAAACACAATGGAAATTAAAAAGCTTTTGTGACTAACTCTGTATGGTGGCACTAACTCCTTTTGCCAGCAGAGGCAGAAAGTAGAAAGCAGTACCAGAGCCTTTGTTAAACTCAAATACTTTCCTCTCTTTAATAGATAGCTCTGCAAAGTCTCTCTTCTGAATAAATCTCTTGGAGAAGTAAAATGCACATGTGGAAACCTCTTTTCAAGAGAGATTTGGAAAAGGGCACATTAGAGAGCTGGGCATGGCTTTCTGAAGTCCAAATGTTTGTGGAAATTTTCCTAAAAATATCACAAAGAAGTTAAGTGGGCAGTGGGGAAAAAAAGAAAAACATTATCAGGTTATGAAAATTCTCCCTTTATGTTGCTTTATAGTCTAGGAAGCCAAGAAACTGAATTAACCTATAGAGCAACATCAAACGTGGTGCTGCCGACCTCATTATGCTGCAGTGCTCCTTCAGACTGTGGCTGGCACTGCTGGGAGAGGCAGTGCCTTTCCACTTGGAGGGAGGGAGTAATTAAGCTGTGCTCTGTCTCGCTGTCACCCAGGGAGTAGAGACCAAACGAATTAAAAGGAAGCCAACAAAATGAGAACAAAAGCCAAACTGCCAGAAATTTTAAAAGCCTTGGAGCTGGAGCCCCTCAAAACTACCCAATACTTGAACCTATTCAAGTATATAAATCTATTCAAGGCATTAGACTTCACCGAAGAACATGGACAACTTCTTCCAAGCAAATGCCAACGCCCATTGCATTTTTCCTTCCAAGACACCACCCTGAAAACTGACACGTCTCCAATGACAAGATGGAGAAATGTTACTTTATGTTGCCTTTGGATCCCCAATGCAGTTTCAAAACTCAGCAGCAGCTGATGAACTCTCAGAATAGTCAGACTTTGGGGCCAAACTCTGCTAGAACCTCGGGCTGCACAAATGCCCAGTGTGAGGTTTTGCCAAGCAACATTTTGAACATGACGCAGAAGCAAGTTGTTTTCTCTTGCTACATTAACTAGAAACAGTAACCACATCCTAAAAAACTACATTTGTAGCGTAGAAAAACAGCTTTAAAGGAAACAGGTATTTTCAATGGCTCTTGGCGAGCCACCATATAAAATACCAGGAATCGGATTTTTTAAGGAACTCATCATAAAATTGGGGAATTTTGTCCCCTGACATTTCTAACTCTCTCCAGAAATAAATAGAATTAATGTATATGATTTTCAGAATAGATAACAGTGCTTGAATGCAGATTAAAGTAAGCAATCCCATAATAAGTGAACTTGTTATGACAGTAGCATTCAACAAAGCATATTTAAGTAATACCTAATTATTAACTACATAATTGTTGTATTAACTACTCTGTGTTCAGTATATCCAGAAACATTAAGCGCCATCATATTTTGGTAACAGTTACATTGGGAAAATACTTTGATTATCTATAAAGACATATCACTCCAAAAACTCAGGATCTGAGAAAAAAAACATTGAAACTGAAGAAAGAATCTCCTGGTGTTCTCTCCATTCAGGAAAGCTTATATTTAACATTATGTATGGTTTTCTCAGATGAAATCTAATCTAAAAATAGCATTTTACTGAGCAAAAATACCCTGCACATACAAGGCTTCATTTCTAAAAGAGTATTGAGATATCTCACTCTTAAAAATAAAATACACCCCTGCATTTTGCACAGACTTTCTTTTTGTTTGCTTCTCCACTTAGACAGCTGGAACACAATGACATGGACACCCCTGTCAGACCCTGAGGAGGAAACAACAGAGGAAGAATTGCTTGAAGGCTGCAGTAGCAGCTGCCACGGCTTACTCAATATTCCCTGACCTCTAGCAGAGGGAGTCTGCTCTCACTCCCAATAAAATTTACAATACACCAGTGACGCTTAATCAGTGGAAGCACTGAGGGTCTTAGTTACCAAAAACCTCTGTAAGCAATTTCATATGGCACCAGAACTGGAGTCTGCCACAAGCTGAAGTGCTTGCTGTGCACAGTGGCTGGTGAAAGCTCTGATCTCACCTGCACAGTGCAAGAGGAGCTTTGTCACCAGCTGCAGGTGAGAAGCACTTTCCACAGAAGATAAATCTGCAGCAACCTTTGACAATATTCCTCCCATGACCAGCAAGAGAATGTGAAAACGGGGAAAAAAACCTTGTACTGTTCCTAAGTAATTATCATATTAACTGTGCTCTGTCCTGTCCTGGGGATGAATCTCTTTGTTAATATTGGTGCTGACAATAAAGACAGAAAACTTGCTGGATCTATTTGAACATAAGAACTTGAGTCTAGCTTTACTGTCTCCTAACTGGAAAACTCGAAGTTTACCAGGTCATGTTCCATATAACTCAGGAAGTTTTTCCTTGACAGCAAGTCTTTTATAGTAAAACCTTCTCCTAGACAGTAAGACAAGGACGTTTCTGTATGTTTTCAATACGCAGAACATGAAAAGCCCCAGCTCTTATCCTCCTCATCATTAAATTCCTTGGCACAGCCAACAGATCTGCTCTCTCTGGAGTCCACCAGCTTCCATTTGACATATGCCTGCTTTAATCATCTGCAGCTTTCCTTCAGCAGGAAAGGTGATGGTGCCAAACATTTTAGATTATTTCATTGCTTACTCTCCCACTTACTCTTTTTTTTTTCCCCCAGAAAGAAATAATGATCACAATTCCGGAGTTTTACTTCCAAATGGCATAGCCATTGTCCAGTTAGTGGTCACTCTGATCAAATCTGGCTAAGAGTTATGGGAAAGCTGGGCATCATAAAGCCTGAGCTGTCAGATTGCCCTTCAAAGAAGCAGCACTAATTTCACAAGAAAATCAAGACACTTCCCAGAACTGATGCAGACACTTATTTGCATATTTATTTTAAATCACAGTTAGAGTCTTATTAAACTTCATGGTTCTAGTCACTTAAATAAACGTTGCAAATCTAGGTCCCCAAGCTATGAAGCCAAAGTAATTGGATTTATATCAGAGACCTACAAAAGAGCCAAGCCAAAACATTGTATCACATTACAGTCACATCAATGGTGAAACTTTAACAGTGTATTTTTACAGCAGGAATAACTTCCTGAAAGGGGAGACAGTATGTTAAGTGCAGCATTTAAGTACCTTTTATGTTATGTTGTAGATATTAATGACCAGTGATAAAAACACATTTAGTTTTGTGAATAAGGTGAAAGCCTATGGCCATTCCTTTAGCCATCTGAGAATAACCAGAACTGCACTGCCAGTGCAGGTGAGTGCCAAGGTTTTAATCTGCTTGGACACAAGTTATCTGGGCAGCTACAACTACATCCACTCAAGTGCTTACCTGCCCTCTGAGATCTCACAAAAATAACACGAGAAACCTCAGACTCCCACACCTGAGCTCTCAGGGGATCAGGTTCTTCACGTGGGACGTCTAAGGAAAATCCATGGGCTGAGCACATCACATTCAACAGGATAAAGAGAAATATCACATTTCTACAGAGCCCAGGTTCCTTGCAATTTACTCTTGCAAACTTGTGTCCATCTTACCTGATTACAGGTGTTAATGTCTATTCCACTTTTCAGGTATTCCACTACTTTGTCCAAATTGCCAGCTCTGGCAGCTCGGAGAAAGCTTGCATTGCTGTCAGACTGCAAAAAGAGAACAAAAAAAATTCTCCAATTAGCCCCTGCTTAAACCAGAGCAGAACTCCATCAGTGGTGAAAGGTTTCCACATTTTATGCTGCAGGAGAATAAAACCATGAAACAACTGAGTTTGAATTATATCTGCATTAATTAGCATATTTAAATTAGGCAATAATGGCACAAAAGAACTGCAGACCTATCAGAGTGAGCAAAATAGTGCAGTAATTGCTGACATTTAAAATTCCGCAAGAATTTTAAAAACAAATAAACAAAAAACAACCATAAATCATAGTAAATTATATTGTCAACAAAAGTAAAATAGATGCATCAACTTGCTAACTATAGTTTTCTGGGGAATTATATATAAATATATTATATCTTTACATATATCATTTTATGTATTATTTATGTATGCTGTTTACAGATTTGTATAGATGTTATTCCCAGACTTATATCAATTATTTTTGGATGTATATGCTCAAAGTGGGCAGCACTGCACGTGTAGCTAACCTTAGAACAAAGCGGATGAAGTACTCAAGGCTAAGTAAATCCAGGATCACGTTGTAAACATCCCCACCCCTAAACTGCCTGCACTCATACTTTAATAAAGGTTTAAAAATCTGATAAAAATCTGTTTTCATTTTTCAGCCAGGCTGTGGGATGTACCGTTATGCAATGGAGCACGGAACACCTCAGCCCTCTTGCCTTTGTCCGTGACACAAAACTGCACGGGCTGCTCTAAACCAGCCCAGATTTGGATGCTCCCCAACACAGGCAAATTGGCTCCTAAGACACCTGAGACAACGACACAAACTCAAGCCGTGCTAGCGAAGCAACGAGTACACAGAATAAGCGTTTGGGAAGGCGTACGGGGACAGCAACAATTGTCCCAGTCAGACAAACCGAGTGGGAGTGAGTGCAAGGAGCAGGTACATAAGCTCGAGAGCCTGTTCGTGGGGGTGTGACGGCCCGCACTCGGACCCGCTGTTCCACGGGAACGCCTCCGGCTGAGCGTGTTCTCAACGAATCCCACCTCGCCGCCACAAACGCCGGGCACAGCCGCTCCTTCACATCATGAGAACATCCTAAAAGCCTCCCACTTCCAGCCACTTATTTCAGTTGCCCAATCCATTCCAATGCATTTTATTTCGGTCACCCTGTTTATCATGCTGCACTAACTCTCTTCACTATCCCCGATTCCAACCTATTTTAATCTGCAACAGATGGATGTCATCAAAATGAGCCTCCTTACAACTGTGCTACATGCCAAGACAAAAATATTCTCTTTTAAATTCCTTTCAGAAAACTTCAGCACATTTTCCACATCATTTACTGTTAGGAAAAGAGACCATCTTTCTAAACATGCATCAATGGGAAAGGGAAGGTAATGCAGAAATTTACAGTGACAGAAATTTTGGATAGCTGCAGGCCTCAGTCAGAGGAGCATTTGGACAAGGTTTGATGCCAGTGCAAGTTTTGATAGGAACCTGAAAGTTCCCTTTGAAGACTAGAGGATAGATGTTGACACTGCACCCTTTCCTGGAATGAGGATGTGCTCATAAGGACACCAAATTATGTTTTAATGTTTGAATCTACTTGAAAAAAAATCAAGTGTCTTGTTAAAGACACTAACCAAGAACAAATATCTGAGTGCATGAGGGGTAAACCTGGACACTCTGATTGGGAAAAGCATCTTTGCCCTCAATAAAACACACTTTTTACTTTCTTTCCCCCCATTTTTTTTTTGTGCTTTACTACTACAACAATAATTTACCATAGCAAAGCTACAATAATCAGCTTTATATTTTTAAAAGGTTAAGAAAGAACGATGCAACAAATTACCACCTACAACTTTGGGTTCTCAGGGATGAATCAATCATTGCTTGTTTTTCTTTCACACAGAGCAACATAAAAAGTTAAAAATGCTGCCATCTCCATTATTGCTGGAAGCTCAGATTATAGCTAAGCCTGCAGAACTATATGCCATTTGTTTCTAGCTAAGAAGACACAAGCAGTGCTTTCCAAGTAGATTTTCATTTCCTGGATTCATAATTTTATTACCTCATAATCAAATTACTGCAGTGTACATCACCTCAAAAAACTTTCCATACACCAGAATATTGATCATAATGCAGAATATTAACTTCTTGTCTATATAATGAGTAATTCAACAATCCATATGCTTCATACGTAAGTTCCCATACAAATACCAGAGACTGGTTCCACAAAATATTTAAGAGATTCAGCACCATGTTACAAAGCTTAGAACACTCAAAAGTTGGGAGTACGCAGTGCTATTTTCTTTCCCAGTTGGCCAAATCTAATTTTTCAGTAGGCTGTCACTAGTTTGTCTTTCGCCCCATTCTTTTAATGTTTTTAAAAGCATTTTTGTCAGCATTTCTGTCTCAGACATTTATTCATTTTCGCACACTTCAAGTTCAAATGCATTTTGACAAAATCCTCTCAGTAAACAACAACGGAGGTTTCCTACAGTCTTACCTTGTCAGAAGATGATGAATTTGGATCTGGATTCCATAATCTCTTGAAATATTTTGTTATACAGCCCCTCAAAGTCTTCAGAGACCTTCAGAGCCCCTCAGGGTGCCCAGAACCCCTTGAAGCCCCTTATGGCCCTCAGAGCCCCTCACAGTCCATCAAAGCCATTCAGAGCCCCCTCATGGCCCTTCAGAACCACTGACATCTACTCAGAGCCCCTCACGGCTCCTTGGAACTCCTCACGGCCCCTCACTGCCCCTCATGGTTCCTCAGAGCCCCTTACAGCTCCTCAGAGCCCCTCACAGCTCCTCAGAACCCCTCACTACCCCTCAGAGCCCCTTGCGGCTTCTCAGAACTGCTCATGGCTCCTCAGAGGCCCTCACACCGCTAAAAGCCCCTCATGGCTCCTCACAGCTCCTCACAGTGCAACAGAACTCCTCAAGGCCCTCAGAACTCCCCACAGCCCCTCACTGCCCCTCGGAACTCCTCACAGGCCCTCAGAACTCCTCACAGCTCCTCACACCCCCTCAGAGCCCCTCACGACCCCTCAGAACTCCTCACAGCTCCTCACGGCCCCTCAGAACTCCGCAGAACTCCTCACGGCCCCTCAGAACTCCTCACATCTTCTCACAGCCCCTCACTGCCCCTCAGAGCCCCTCACGACCCTTTAGAACTCCTCACAGCTCCTCACATCTCCTCACGGCCCCTCAGAACTCCTCACATCTCCTCACGGCCCCTCGCTGCCCCTCAGAACTCCTCACGACCCCTTAGAACTCCTCACAGCTCCTCACGGCCCTCAGAGCCCCTCACATCTCCTCACGGCCCCTCACATCTCCTCAGAACCCCTCACTGGCTTCAAAGCCCCTCATGGTTCTCACAGCCCCTCACGGCCCTCTCAGGACTCCTCACAGCCCCTCAAAGGCCTCAAAAGCGTCTCACAGCCCTCAGAGCCCTTCACGGCCCTGACGGCCCTCAGAGATCCTCATGGCTTTCACAAACCTCAGAGCCCCTCACGGTCCCTCAGAGTCCTCAAAAGCCTCTCATGGCGCTCACAGCCCCTCATGGCCCTCACAGCCCTCAGAGACCCTCGTGGCTTTCACAAACTGCAGAGCCCCTCACAGCCCCATAGTTCCTTCACGGTCCCTCACAGTGTTTCTCAGTGAGAGAAACCAACATACTGGTCTTCATAGTTTTGTGACTGGTGAAGAAAAACTCTCAACAAGTTGTCATTTGAAGGCACTTCCTTTACAAGAAAGAAGCCAAAAAACCAGACCCAATGGTAAAATATACCCATATGGTATTTACCACGTCTCCTCTTCCTAAGCACACACCCCTGAGTGAGGGGTTTTCTCAGGAGTTTTACACATGTAAGCAGATCGTGCTTGAAAACACTCTAACACCAGTGATAAAAGGGAAGGTTTACAGGAGAAGAGTTCACCTTAAGCAGCACTATGAGAGCAGGAGAACATGAGAGCCCTGTAATTTGGGAAGCCCCAAAGCTGACATGTTAATGTGCAAAGTCTCAGCTGGCAGCTCTGCCCACCACCTTCAACTCTGGCTGAATTAAGGCTCACGTTGTGTACAGGCAGGCACTAGGGTCAGGCAATCAAATCAATACATTATAAACATGATATAAGGATAAGGTATGAGGAATTAGAAAACACTGAGCTGGTATTTTATAGTGTGGTGAATTCACCATCTGTGGATTTAACCAGCAATCCTCACTAACTACTAAAAAAAAAAAATTTTGCAATGCATTTTCTAGTACATGATATTGATACAAAGGTAAATTTATCTTAGATAACAGAAGCAATTTCTATGAATTTCAGAAGAAGAAACAGAAGTTCCCTGTGAGGGTGGTGAAGCCCTGGCATAGGTTGCCCAGAGAAGCTGTAGCTGCCCCATCCCTGGAAATGTGCAAAGCCAGGTCTATTGAAGGTGTCCCTGTCTGTGGCAGGGGGTGGAACCGGATGACATTACAGGTTCATTCCTCATAAACCTATGACTTTGGAGAAATATTTGGTGGTATTTGACCTTGTAAAGGTCTATCTTTCAACTTTTCTTGACAAAGGATAGGTAATTCCAGCTATAAATAACTATTTTCAGACCACTAGGAACAAATAAACTACAATCAATATAAGCTTAAGTACACTTACAGCATGAATATAAACATTACTTTATAACTACCTAGCTGTCAGATATTGCAAGAAATGATCAAGTGACTATGTATGACTGTGGATTCTCCCTCTTTCTTGCGAATCACATTGCTGCAATTTAACCTGAATTTGAAACATCTATTTTAGGGAATCTCAGTAAATAAATCATACATGGAAATTAGTATTTTAATCAAATAGTCAGACCTCCCCTTCTGGTTTCTCTGTCCCCACTCTAGTTGCCCTTCCTATTGCATCATGTACCACATCACTTACTGCACAGAGCACACGCCTGTTTCTCGAAGACATTGTAGAGAGAAATGCAAAAATATATATTGAAATCATATGCTGTACCA